GCTCCTTCCCAGGGTGATCCCAGCCGCCCCGCTCCTTCCCGGGGTGCCCCGAGCGGCCCCGCTCCTTCCCGAGGTGCCCCGAGCAGCCCTGCTCCTTCCCAGGGTGATCCCAGCCGCCCTGCTCCTTCCCGGGGTGCCCTGAGCGGTCCCGCTCCTTCCTGGGGTGCTCCCATGGGCCCCGCTCCTTCCCGGGGTGATCCCAGCCGCCCCACTCCTTCCCGGGGTGCTCCACGCTGCCGGCGCTCGCTCACCCTGCCACCACTTACATTCGTTTCCCCTTTCCCATTTGCCTCCCGCCCCCCTCGCACGGCCCAGCATGTCCACATTTGGGCCCTTGTGCCCGACGACRCTGTCAAGCTGCAGAGACGGCGCTAGAAAGGCCCTGCTGGGCCCCTTTTCCCACAGATTTTTTTGGTTTCACTTCCAGTGAAGTGATCTCACAAACACTAACTCTCTGCGTTGTGTCGAGCGCTAYTCGTGAGAACCAGGTCTAAACATGAGGGTTTTTCTGTCTGAAAAAATGAACAGCATCTCTTGGCATCACAAGAATTCAGCTGGACTCCACGGATGTGAGAAGCAAAGTCTGAACAYGAGCCTGGAGTGCCGAAGCTTAAAAATAATCCAAGTGCACTGAATATCCCGAAGTTTCRGGGTTACGCAGGACGATTTCAAGTAAATCCCGCAATTCCTTCCCTCGTTAGGGCACAGGAGCTGGAGACACAGATGTGGGGTTCGCTCTGCAGCCCTTCACTCTGCGCAGGGTCGTTCCAGCCGCACGGACACAGGTGCCACTGGGTGCCATTCCGCACAGGAGACGGGCATGGGGACAAGGAGCCGCCCGGGCGCGGGTTGTGTCCCAGCCGGTGCCGGGGACACCGCGGCTGCCACCGCCCGGCACCACGGCGGCACTCGGCTCTGCGGCACCACCAAATAAAGCGGATTTGCCGCGTCCTGTCACTCCACACACATCCACATCTCAAACCATGGACCAGATAAACCTCGGGAGAAACGAGAGGTCCTCTGCATATCCTCACTGTGCCAGTGACCACAGTCAGAACACAAAACAAGTCCTAAAACACTAATTGTGACGCGGATGTCTGCTGTCTACCGTACGTTCACGTGGAAAGCCTTCAATAGTTGTTACCATGAGCTGAAAAGCTGCGTGGCGACAGAGGTCACGAGTATTTGGTATTTGGTGGTGTCCCCGGCGCACGGAACAAGCTCCGAGCGCAGCTTCGACTCCCTTCCGAGGGCAGCGCCGAAGCGGCCGGCTGGCTGCAAAGGGCGCGGGAGCTCGGGACCTGGGGCCCTTCCTGCCGACCACAACACCCGGGAAGGGAGCAGAGACGGGGCCCCCGCGGCCCGGCCGGCCCCTGCGCAGGGCGCGAGCCGGAGCACCCCCAGGTGTGGAGGGGCTGCACATGCAGACTGCGTCCAGTTCGGGGCTCCCCAGGACCAGAGGGATGTGGAGCTGCTGCAGAGAGTCCAGCGCAGGGCTACCAGGATGATCAGAGGCCTGGAACATCTGCCCTATGAGCAAAGGCTGAGAGAGCTGGGTCTGTTCAGCCTGGAGAAGAGGAGGCTGAGGGGGGACCTGATCAGCGTGTATAAATACCTCAAGGGAGGCAGTGAGGAGGAGGGGGGCGGCCTCTTTTCAGTGGTGGCCAGCGACAGGACTAGAGGAAACAGCCACAAACTGAAGCACCAAAAGTTCCACAGGAACTTAAGGAAAAGTTTCTTAACAGTGAGGGTGCCCAAATCCTTTGGGAATTCAGACAAGGGGAAGGGAACAGGTTAAAAACTGCCAAGTGCAGAAGGGCAACAGAGCAGAACGACGTTAACTGATCCCCCAAACAGATGAAGATGATTAGTCAGCACTTTAGAGCATATCACACTCTTCCTAGATATTTTTAAGAATTTGTTCATTCTCCTGACTTCGCTCAAGACGCGAGGTTAAGGACCTCCAGCTCCACCTGCCTGCGGTGGCCGCTCTCCTTCCTCCTCTTCTCCCTCATGAGAGCACATAGACCATTCTGGCAAGTCTGGCACTGACACCTACCCTTTCCGAGCTTCACACACAGTTTCTTGGCAGGTATTCTCTGCATGGATTGTTTTCCAAAGGGATTTCATTCCTCACCGCTATATTGTGCTTGTTGCAAGAGTCATTAGTGTGCTGACCAACAGCTATTAGGGTTTCTGTGGCCTTTCAGAGGGCCTTGAACACTGACCAGTGCTCACCATAAATATAATTTAAATAACAAACATATTCAGAAAAAGCCATTTTGGAAAAAAAGCTTTTAAAACAGAAACATTTAAGACCTATGAGATGTACTAGTATTCTCCACTTTAAAATTCGTACTTCAATTGTGTGTTAAAGTTGGCTATTCTTGCATTCTTCTTTTATTCTCAGTTTCTTCAAGGAAACTGAGTCTGACATTATACATATGTCCAGCAATGATATCACCTGCACTGAGTGAAATGTGAAAGACATCTGAGAGACTCTTGTGATCTTGTACAACGGTTCTAGGAGCGCAGTTGGGTTGTTTTCTTACCAGTGTTGGGATCGGCAGCTGGGTGTTTCTTGATTTGAGCTTCAGAGCTCGCAGCGTAGCAGGCACGAGGCACCTTGATGAGCCACACCGCTCGCAGAGGGACACGGCATGTTGTGCTAGGCAGGCAAAGACATCTTCTTCTTGCTGAGAATAGGAACCTGAAAGCCAAGAGGAAGCGAGTGAGCGCGCACAGTGCGGGCGGCACCAACCGCTCGGCTCCTCGCGCAGCTCTGYGCGCGCGGGCGGCACTGGGAGCCCTCCACGCTGACCAGTGCCCGTGTTGGGCACCGCGGGCTCCACAGAACCACCCCACGTGTCCCCACCCTCCTGGGGTGCGCTCGGAGATGCCCCCCACCCCGCGCGGACCTGTCGAGGCGCCGGCACGGCCTGGCACAGAGCAGACCCTGCAGGCCCGGGGGGCCTGGACAGCGACCGAGCTGCGGGCAGGGGCTCCCGGGCACCAGGGGCTCCCCAGCACCAGGGGCTCCCCAGCACCAGGGGCTCCCCAGCACCAGGGGCTCCCTGGGGCACCAGGGGCTCCCCAGCACCAGGGGCTCCCGGGCACCAGGGGCTCCCGGGCACCAGGGGCTCCCCAGCACCAGGGGCTCCCCAGCACCAGGGGCTCCCTGGGGCACCAGGGGCTCCCCGGCACCAGGGGCTCCCCAGCACCAGCCTCAAGGCCTCCATGGGGACGTTCCCCGCAGAACCGGGCTCCTCCCGTCCCCACAGAAGGCCAGCTGGTTACTGAAGCCCTGCTTCACATTCACCACCRTAAGCTCATCCCGCAAGGACAGCGTTGGGAACAACAAATGGGAAGACAACCTATGCAGTCACACCGGAGTGCCTGCAAGGCTCAGCCCACCTCCTAACTAGAACTAAGTGAGAGTGCAGAGCTGAAGATCCACCTGCAGCCAGTGCCCGTGCTGGGCGGCGCTGGGCGGCCGCCTGGGCGGCWCCCCTGGGAACTCAACGCTGCAAGATATTTCTCATTACTGCAACCGAGTTTRTCAGTACGAGAGACCAGCCGCAAAGGATGGAAAGACAACAGGAAGCAGGGGGTTAAAAACCAGAGAAATGGGCCCAAGGGCTAACAAGGGGCTGGGACGGAGATGGCTCCGCACGTTAGCGCCGACCGCCCCCACCTGCCGGCCGCCGCTGCTGAGCCGCCTCCGCCGCGCGGCGGCCCCGGGGGGCTGCGCACCGGGAGGCG